GAAGTTTTAACTTTTATGTAGATGACTCCGAAATGATGTTTTGATTATTCCAATATCTCTGTATCGTGATTTTGGACTTAGGAGTGCGTTCGGATTTGGATTTGTAGGTCCGTAGGTTAATTTGAAGCATTTCGGCAATAATTGGAAAAAGTTAAAGTTTTGGAAGGTTGAGAGGTTTGACCGAGAGTTGAATTTGTTGATATCGGGCTCGTATTGCGATTTTGAGGGTTGGATTAGCTCCTTTATGTTATTTGGGGCTTGCATGCAAAATTTACCATCAGTTTGGGTTTATTTGATATGTTTCGGCACGAGGTTTGGAAGTTAGAAGGTTTGGAATTTCATAAGGTCGATTCGAGGTGCAATTCGTAATTTCAACGTTGTCGATATGATTTGACCTCGAGCGGGTCCATGTTATGTTATAGAACTTGTTGGTATGTCTCGACGTGGTTCCGGGGGCCTAGGGCGTATTTCGGATGGGCTACGGGCTATTTTCTCATGTTTTTGGATGACTGATCTGATATCTAGTGTCCCTTATACACGATCTCGAAGTTCAAGCCGCATTCGCATAGGCTGTGCTGGGACTGGCCATTTTCCATCTTCGCGTTCGCAGTGTGTGGTTCATGATCGCATAAGTGTGAGTTTTGTTTCATCGCGTTCGCATGGGCAGTTCCGTATTCGCGTAGCACAACCTTAGCAGCCGGTATATTTTCTCCTTTGCGATCGCATGTACTCGTTCGCAATCGCGTAGTACATTTCTTGGGGCAGCAGTTGTTCTCTTCTTTGCGATCACATGCTTTTGTTCGTGATCGCGTAGTACATTTATGGGCAGTAGTCATTCCTTCTTCGCGATCGCAATTGCATTTCCGCGATCACGATTTGTAAATCGTTGGGTAGCAGAATATAGTTTCCAAAATCGTGGGTTTTGTCCATTTCTTTCTCCATCTTTTGAACTAGAGACCTTGGATTTGAGCAGTTTTTGAGGGGTTCTTCACGTGTTCGATGGGGTAAGTGTTATTTATTCGAAATTTAATTTATTTCATGATTCCATCCTTATTTTTATCCTTTAATTAGTGGTTTGAGTTGGGAAAAATGAGGATTTTGAGAAAAACTTTCAAAAACGTAAAATGATTTGAAGGACGAACTGATGTCGGAAATTGATAATTTTGGTATGGTTGAACTCGTATCGGAATGGGTGTCGGGTTTTGTGAATTTTATCGGGTTCTGAGGTGCAGGTCCGGGGGTTAACTTATTAGTTTTAATTAAAGATCGAAGCTTTATTATCCGGTATTGTCTCCTATGAGTTTTATTTATGATTTGAAGTTATTTTGGCTATATTTGAGCCGTCCGGAGGTTGTTTCACTCGAGAAGGTCAATTTAGAGTACCGATCTAGCTTCTTTGAGGTAAGTATCTTGCCTAACTTTGTGTGGGGGAACTACCCCTTGGGATTTGAGTCATTTGTGCTAATTGCATCATGTGAAGGTCGTGTACGCAATGTGATGAGTACGTGCTCGGGCTTATTTGTGGAAATGTGATAGTTTAGGGCTCTTAGGTTCTTATGTTAATTAGATATGAAGTTGTTTTGTCATGTTAAATCCCCTATTTACTAAATTCACCCTCACATGTCTTATTTGGAATTAATTGCTTCATGTTCTACCCTTATTGCCGATTAAACTCTTATGTGCCTTAACTGAAGTTGTTGCCTCTTTTATTGTCATGCTATCCTTTCTGTAATTGCTTAACCTTAATTGAAATTACTATTATCTCTTCCGTAACTGCTTAGCCCTAATTGAAGTTTGTTATCCCTTTCATTGTTGACTTATTCTAATTTGGGGTCATTGATTCATACTATCTCTTGTGGTTGAATTATACTTTTGTGAAATCATTGTTATACATTATCTCTCCCTTGTTGAGCTATTCTTGTTGAGATTATTATTCTCTGTTGTGTCTTTCTTTGTGAGCTCGTTCTTCCGTTTCTTTGTGTTCTTAAGTTTTTGTGATGATTTACCTTCCGTATTCTCGTGTTATTGTTGTTGTTGTTGTTGTTGTACGTTGTGGTTGAGCCGTGGGCTCCTTATGAAATTCTATTATTGTTTGATTTCTCTGGCAAAGTGTGATTTTGGGTTGAGGTGCGATTTGTGATACGTTGTGATATTGATACGCATGCGGTGGTATAAGGGTTGGGTGTTGAAACGCATACGGTGAGATAAGGTGGGCTTGATATGCATGGCTAGTAGGGGAACTACTAGAAGCCATGCGGTGTGATAAGGTGGGCTAAAACGCGGGATGCTATTTCAGGAAGAATGATTTTCAAAACTAAATGTAAAGGCTCTCGCGGTGATATAAGGAAAGATTGGGATTCATTTTGTGATTTGAGACTATGAGGTGGTGCCTCAGTAGTGGCTCTTGTTGAGATTTGCCCATTCTTTTGTACTTGTCTTTGATTGTTGTTTCCTTATCATATTGTTAATTGTCTTTCTCCGTGTTGCACTATTTGATTAATTCTGTGTAGCTAATCTTGTTGTAGTATTTGTTTGTTTCAATTTCATTGCTGTCCTTATTACACTGTACATTTTGTGGTGATCGTTCTTATGTGCCATTCATTATCTCTACCCTTACTTGTTGACTTGAATTGTGGTAGAACACTTGCACAAGCATACAAATAAATCACCCATATCGGTTTAAGAAGATGAATACTGATATTTTGACCATTTACATGTACTCCCGCGTACTTGCCTTATGGGTGAGAGTTATCTTGTCGGCACGTTAGTTATCCGTGCAGTCATGAGTCATTATTATTGTTGGCACGTGAGTGGTCCGTGCGAATATTAGATATTGTCACTCCCTTGGCACGTGAGTCGTCCGTGCTGTTATGAATTGTAATGTGTACAAGATGTCATGTGATTAGGGTTCACGAATTGGGACTCGTGATTTGTGATTTTGAGGTTTGGTACCTCGTGGAAATTCTTGGATAAATCGAGTGTGAAAGCTGTTGTTCTTACTGAGTTGTTACTTGTTTTCCTTTATTTGGTTTCACCGGATACGAACTGCGTTCAGCTTACTCTACAGTGTTATTGCCTATTTTGTCTCGTTGCTAACTGTTATTTTTAGTTCATATGACAACTATTGTATTATTATTGTCATCATACCTAGCTTTATATTGATATTGTTCCCTGTCAGTTCTACATTTATACTTGTTCAGGTTATTTAGTCTAGTAGGTGTCTTGACTGTTCCTTGTCACTACTCCACCGAAGTTAGTCTTGATACTTACTGGGTACCGCTGTGGTGTACTCATGCTACGCTTCTGCACATTTATGTGCAAATCCAGGTTCCTCGGACGTCGTTGATTATTAGCTAGCTGGTCGAGCATTGCTGTGGAGACTCAAGATAAACTTGTCGTCGCATTCGCAGGCCTCAGAGTCACCTTCTAATATTGTACTTGTACTGTTTAATTCTATTCCGAAAGTTGTATTCAAGGATTTTCTAGCAAACTCAGTAGAGCTTATGACTTGTACTACCGGTTTTGGGATTGAAAGTTTTGTATAGAGATTTCTATTTCATATTTAATGGTTGATGGTTAAATTTTGCTATTAATTCAGTAAGTGTTAGGCTTACCTAGTCTTAGAGACTAGCTGCCGTCACGACATCCTACGGAGGGAAATTGGGGTCGTGACAAACCAGATCAATTGGTTAAGCAATTTTACTATACAAATTTATACGGGACTTATAAGGCTCCATTGCTTCACCTTCAATGGCTACGAGTAGGAAAATGTAGTTATGAGTTTAATGTCTCCAGCTCGACTTATTTTCTACACGATTCTTCATTCTATTAGAGTAACCGATGGTTGTTTCTCAAATTGCCCTCCAAAATATAATTTAGTCTGTGACCATTTACTTTAAACTCTTCTCCACCACTGATCAACTGAATCTCAATAGCACCAGATGAAGTAACATTTGTAACATTGTAAGGACCTGTCTATCTGGATTTTATTTTTCGAGGAAATAGCCTGAGTCCCCTATTGTAAAGAAGTGCCTTATCTCCAATTTTGAAATTCTTTTGTCGGATCAAATTGTCATGCCATATTTTTGTTTTTCATTGAAAATTCTGGCATTTTCATAGGCTTCCAACCTCAGCTCTTCTAATTCATTAACCTGAATAAACCTATTTTTACCAGCAGAGGTCAAATAAAAGTTTAGTGCTTTCAATGCCCTAAAAGCTTTGTGTTTTAATTCAACTAGCAAATGAAAAGCTTTTCCAAAGACAAGTCTATATGGGAATGTTCCAATCGGCATTTTGAACACTGTTTGGTAAGCCCATAATGCATCATCTAATTTTAAAGACTAGTCTTTCCTAGAAATTCCAACCGTCTTCTCAAGAATTCTTTTTAACTTGCAGTTCGAAACTTCAACTTGCCCTTGAGATTGAGCATGATATGGTGTTCCTGTTTTGTGAGTCACACTATATTTTGATAGCAAAGTAGAGAATTTCCTATTCGAAATGAGTTCCTTGGTCACTAATGATGACTCGCAGTGTGCCAAATCTAGTAAAAATATTTTACTAAGAAAATTGCACACTGTACGAACATCATTCTATCTTGTGGGGATCAATTCAACCCATGTTGACACATAATCTACAACCATAAGAATATATTCAAAAGAGTGAGAAGAAGGAAAAGGTCCCATGAAATCTATTCCCCAAACATCAAATATTTCACATACTTGTATCGATTTCAATGGCATTTCATCTCTCTTAGTGATGTTACCTGTTCTCTGACACCTATTACATTGTGCAACGTATGTTCGGGCATCTTTAAAGTGTGTCGGCCAGAAGAATCCAACTTTCAAAACCTTAAAAGCTGTTTGATTTGCTGCATAATGACCTCCATTGCTCCATCATGATAGTGATATAAAATTTTGGTCATCTCTTGTTCGGGTATACATCTTCTAATGATAATATTTGCACAAAGTTTAAACTATTAATGTTCGTTCCGCAGATAATACTTAGCAGTTAGCATCAGATATAAGTTTTTTCCTTTGTTGGTACAAAAGATCTTGGGATGTCCACTTTCCAACCAAGTAGTTTGCAATATCTGCAAACCAGGATGGTTGAGTCACTACTGAGTCGATTGAAAAAATATGTTCATCAGCAAATTCTTCCTTTATCTCACTAAACTCAAGCGGAGGATTTTCTAATCTAGACAAGTGGTCAGCTACCTGATTCTCTGTCCACTTTTTATCTTTTATCTCAAGATCAAATTCTTGCAGAAGTAAAATCCATCTTAACAATCTAGGTCTAGCATCCTTCTTTGCTAAGAGGTATTTCAAAGCTGCTTGATCAGTGAAAACTATTACCTTAGTTCCTATTAAATATGGACGATATTTATCAAATGCAAATACTACTGCTAGTAACTCTTTCTTTGTTGTGACATAATTGAGTTGAGCCTCATTCATTGTTCTACTAGCATAGTAAATGGGACGAAAAATCTTATCCTTTCTCTGGCCTAAAACAACTCCTACTGATATATCACTAGCATCACACATAACCTCAAAAGTTTGATTCCAGTCAGGGGACACAACTACATGGGCATTTGATAAATTTTTCTTAAGGGTCTCAAATGCATCTAGGCAAACACCTGAAAAATTAAACTTAGTATCTTTCATCAAGAGGTTAGTCAGCGGTTTTGAAATCTTTGAAAAGTCTTTTATGAACCGTCTAGAAAAACCTGCATGATCTAGAAAGCTTCTAGTGCCTTTAACAGTTGTGAGAGGGGGTAATCCTTCTATGAGATCAATTTTAGCCTTATCAACTTCTATCCCTTTAGCAGTGATTTTATGTCCTAAAACAATTCTCTCAGTAACCATAAAATGATATTTTTCCCAATTACGAATCAAGTTTATATCTCTTAAGAACTAAAGTAAAGTGATAAAGAAAATCCTTAAATGTCTTTCCAAAGAGTGTAAAATCATCCATAAAAATTTTGAGAAATATCTAGGTCATGTCAGAGAATTTGCTGACATGCAATACTGAAATATAGTAGTGGCATTGCACAAACCAAATGGCATTCTCATATAAGCATCTGTTCCATGAGGACATGTGAAGGTTGTCTCATCTTGATCTTCTGGTGCAATTGGTATCTGCTTATACCCTGAATAACCATCAAGAAAACAATAAAACCCATATCTTGCACTTCTTTCCAACATTTGATCAATAAATGGCAAAGGAAAATGATATTTTCTAGTAGCATCATTAAGATGTTTGTAATCAATATAGACTCTCCATCCTGTGACAATCCTGGTAGGTATGAGTTCATTATTTTCATTTTTAATAATTGTCATACCTCCTTTCTTTGGCACTACCTGAATAGGACTTACCCAAGGACTGTTTGAAATAGGATAAATGATAACTGCCGCCAAAAGTTTTACAATTTCCTTTTTTACCACTTCCTGTATTGCTGGATTCATTCTATTTTGGGATTGAACTATTGGTTTGTAGCTATCATCCATGAGGATTCTGTGAGTACAAACAACTGGATCAATCCCTTTGATATCTGCTATAGTCCACCCTAAGGCTCTTTTGTATGTTTTCAAGACTTCAATTAATCTTTCTTCTTGTTCTGCAGTCAAAAAAGATGAAATAATCACTGGACATTGTTCTTTCTCAAGATAAGCACATTTTAAATGAGATGGGATAATTTTGAGTTCGATATTTGGTTGAATTTCTTCAGGTTGCATCTCCCGATCCTCAGTATCTTTTTCTAATATTTCAACTTCTCTTCTGATGGTGGGATCATCATCCTGTATGGTGCCTGATTTGGCCAAGCATCTTTCCATCGAGTCTGGAGTTAATTGATCATCTCTAAATTCATCTGCAAGATAACTAATCATGTCAATTAAAAAGCACGAAGGTGATGATTCATCTCCTGAATATCTTAGTAACTTTTGCATGTCAAAAATGACCCTTTCTTCATCAAATCTTAAAATTAGTTGTCCTTGATGGACATCTATAATTGCTCTACCTGTAGCAAGAAATGGTCTACCCAAATTAATTGGTTCATCAGGGCACTCCTTCATTTCAAGCACCGTGAAATCTATAGGGAAAACTAATTTATCTACTCTCATAAGTACATTTTCAATTATTCCCTTAGGTTTCTTAGTACTTTGATCTGCAGACTGTAGAGAGACACCTATATCTTTCAACTCACCAAGATTTAATTTTCTAAGTGGCATCAAGTTTATTGAAGCTCCAGAATCGCAGAGTGCCATTTCAAAATACACTCCTCCCAAAGTGCATGAAATTGTAAAACTGCTTGGGTCACCAAGTTTTTGCGGTAGCTTATTTTGAAGTATAGCACTACATTTTTCCGTTAGCATTACCACATAAACTTTTTCCAATTTCCTTTTGCTTGACAAAATTTCTTTCAGGAATTTGGCGTAAGAAGGCGTTTGCAACAAAGTATTGGCAAAAGGAATATTAATGTGAATCTGTTTTAAAATCTTTGCAAATTAACTATCAAGCTTTACTCTTTCATTTTTTGTGGAAAAAAATTCTCACGGGGAGAGGAGTCATTTTTTCAATATTCTTCTCTTCTTTTTTATTGACTTCTTTATCTTCTAATGGTTCAGAGGGTGTTTCAACATTCTTACCCTTGTTTACATGTTGTTCTGATTGGTTCTTTTTATGTCTGACTGTATTGGGTTTATCAAGCTCCTTACCTGATCGTAAGGTGATGGCCTTAAGTGTTCCTTTGGATTTTTCTCCGTATTGATTGGTAAGGGGACTTGAATTTTTTCTGACACAAGAGCTGTCAATTGGCTCAGCTGGATTTCCAAATTTTTAAGGGCTGAATTTTTGCTTTCCATTTTTTTTATCAGTGACCTTAATGTATTTGTAAAAAAGGTCATCAAGACTTAGATGTGCTTGTTGAGGCCTTTGCTGATATGGAGTTGCTTGCTGATAAAGTCTGAAATTTGGTTGCCCATGGTTCTGATTTTGGTAACCATGTGTACCTTGTGCCTATGGCTTCTGGAAGCTCGGAGAGTTCTCAACACCATTTGGATTGATCCATTAAAATCCTGGATGTTTATGTGCCATTGGACTTTGATGATAGGCTATAATTGCGTATTTTAGTCGCTTATTACACTCTAATTTACTGCACTTTAATTGAGTTTGAGCTTTAATTGCTAGTATTTTGTACTAATTGTTTATTTTATGCCTTGTAGGAGTGGTTCCGAGCTATGTAGATATTATGGAATGAATTCAAGTGATTTGGAGCTTTGAAGTCTGAGTAAAAGCCCAAGGAATTAAGCCGGGATCGTGTTCGGGGATCAACAGATGATAGTTAAGAATGAAACGGAGAATCGAGAGGGCATACGGCCTATTATCTAGTAAAATGTACATAACTTTTCGCTCAGAACTCCGCTTGGGCTCCACAATATATCGTTCGAAAGCTATTTAAAAGTGCTACAACTTTCTTGTTTTACGTTTTCCTGAATTCCCACTACCACGGTACGGGGCGCGCCGCGCCTGTGGAAATTTCCTGCAGCTTGTCAGAATTAGCTCTCTGAACTTCCCCACAAGCACACCGCGTGGCGCGTCGCCCCATGCAGCGCGCCTGTGCAAATTTTACAGAGCAAGAGTCCTATTTCGGGCAGGAAAAGGTATTTCGTGTGGGCCCTACCCTATTTGGTATAAATACATGTAAAAATGCTATTTTGAGAACGGGGACATACTTTTGACATAATTTAGACCTAAGGAGGCTAAGGAGATCGGGGATTCGAACTAAGGAGGCAAAAACACACTAGGAGCAAGGCGGAGAATTCTTCTATGAGTTTTTCACTTCCTTCTTCTTATTTTCATTAGGGGTTATGAATTCTAGTATTGTAGTTATGCATACTATTATGAATAGCTAATTTGTTATCTAGGGTTTTGATGGAAATTATTGGAGGATGATTTTCCTGTTACGTTAATATAGATTTGTTGTAGTATTTCTCTATTTGTTCAACTACATTATTATTGTGGTTGGTTGAACAGCTCTTAATCAATTGTGCCTATTTAGTGTGTATTACTCGGGAGAGAGTACATATTTAGGTAGTTGTTGAACAACATCACTCCTAACATATATGAGGGATCAATACGGAGGGTTTAAAGGTGAGATTAGGGATAACGAAACCTTGGTGCGATCCGAGTGACCCGTGTTTAATGCCAGCTAGTGTAATTCGGGAGAATATGTCTAGTAAATTGTGGTAGTTACTCAAAAGAGAATTACGACACTCAAAGCGCTCATGATGGGTAGAGAATACTTAGGCGAAATAATAGAAGACGTAGTGTTTAGGATTCCGACAATTGGAAAAATCATAACTCTAGACCTCCTGATTCTTGTCTCTAACCCTTAGTATCTTTAGTTGTTAATTTATTATTTTAGTTTGTTAGTTAATTAGTTAAACACAAAAATCTTAATATCTATAAGTTAGGAATTGTTCAAGCTTGTATTCTTGGTGATAGTGAATAGTTGTAGCTAAGCCTTAGTTCTCTGTGGGATTAGACTCTGGACTTGTAAACCGGATTATATTTGCAACGACGCTTAGTCCTTTTTATAAGGCATAGTTGGGCGTGATCAAATTTTGGCGTCGTTGCCGGGGACAATGCACAATTGGGGATAATTAGTATGGTGTGCATTGGGGACAATGCACAATTTTAAGTGTGGGCGGAGAAGTCTGAGTACCCCATGAGTTGCTAGTGCTTCGGCCTTTGGCCTACTAGGGAGTTTCTTTTACCCTCTTATTAGTATGGTGGGCATTGGGGACAATGTACAATTTTAAGTGTGGGGTGAGGAGATTATCTAGGTGACTTTGTATGCTACTTTAGCTGTGTTAGTTTAATTGAATAATATTTTTATTTTTATTTTAAATGATTGGACTTTGCCCGACGATGGATCTATTAGACAATTTTCTTGAGGGATTTAAGTCGAAAGAAAAAGGACAAAAAAGATTTTCTTTGTAAGTAGTGTAGTAATTCCCCCTTGGTTTTTCTTTGTGCCGCAGTTCTTTTTCAAGGGTTTTGTTTGAACCGGGTGTAGTTAGTTTTTTAGGAGTAGGAGCCAGTGTGAGATGAATTGAATTGAAGCAATATCTCTTGACTTTGTTATGCCTTGAGAATAGTGAGTACTTTGGTTATGACGCTTAGGCTCAGTTTTTGACTCTTGTATAAGTACCTTAAATTGTATGATTTTGAATTTGTTTAACTGCTTTGACTAGAGTGTCCTGATGAATCCAATCTTGAGTGAGTTATGTGCCATGTGTGTGTGTGAGGTTTTGTGTTATTCTGTGCGTTGCATTTGATGTCTAGAACTTGCCCTGTGTGTTTGCAAAGCGAAATAGTAGTTTTGTTCAGTCTTGGAAGTGATATAGAAATTTTTTTGTTGAGCCATATATATATTTTACTCGCCTAATTGTTATGTATCGTAGTTAACCCCTTTGAGCCTATAATCTTGTTTCTTTGGCAACCACATTACAAGCTTTACCCATTTGTTTGAATTAACCAATTATTTGAACCTTTTAACCTCTCATGAGCACTTGAATAGTTATGAACTTTGTAAAAGTTAAAGTGTGGGGTGGTTGGTTTGTATTTTGAGTGGAACTAATGAAATAAGGAGAAAAGGTGCACTGTTTTAAAAAGTAAGAGCCACTTGAATTGAAAAAAAATAGTTGTATTGCTGTGAAAAAATATTCCTTGATAAGTGGTGACTCTTGATGTAATTGTGCTTATAGAAGTATGGGATAATATACATTGATGTGAAGGTGGAGTTTGGTTTGACATAAGTATGAGGTTTGAATGCTAAAGTATACGTATTAAAGTACTTAGAGAGGTGTAGTCACTCTTATATCTAAATGTATCCTACCCGTTCCGCAACCTACATTACAACCAAATAAAGTCTTACTTGATCCTAGACTGAATGAGCTCGATTAGTAGAATAGTACACTACGATCAAGCCTATGGTGCATCTTTTGTGGCATATGAATGTTATTTCTGAGAGTGAGTGAATTCTTTCTATCTTGAGTTCCTAATTGTTCTTAACTTTTATGGTGTGTGTAACTACTCTCTTTTGCTGTGTGAGGGCACTTGATTCATGAAGGAAAGGTAATGTCAGTGACCTCTATGTTAGAGTAAGTGGGTGAGTTGTGAATAATGCGTGGTACTTGTGAGTCAAATCTTGAGGCGAAGATGTTACGCGTTTGTGCTTAGTCTATTTTAAATATTCTTGGTGTGATGAGTTAGGAGAATTGTATAAAAAGGTCGTGTCTATATACAATGTAGTTTGATTGCTCGAGGACGAGCAATGCTTTAAGTGTGGGGTGTTGATGATAGGCTATTATTGCGTATTTTAGTCGCTTATTACACTCTAATTTACTGCACTTTAATTGAGTTTGAGCTTTAATCGCTAGTATTTTGCACTAATTGTGTATTTTATGCCTTGTAGGAGTGGTTCCAAGCTATGTAGATATTATGGAATGAATTCAAGTGATTTGGAGCTTTGACGTCTGAGTAAAAGCCCACGGAATTAAGCCAGGATCGTGTTTGGGGATCAACAGATGATTGTTAAGAACGAAACGGAGAATCGAGCAGGCATACGGCGTATTGTCTAGTAAAATGCACATAACATTTCGCTCAGAACTCCGTTTGGGCTCCACAATATATCGTTGGAAAGCTATTTAAAAGTGCTACAACTTTCTTGTTTTACGTTTTCCCGAATTCCCACTACCGCGGCGGGGGGCGCGCCACGTCTGTGGAAATTTCCTATAGCCTATCAGAATCAGCTCTCTGAATTTCCCCACAAGCACACCGCATGGCGCGTCGCCCCATGCAGCGCGCCTGTGCAAATTTTACAGAGCTAGAGTCCTATTTCGCGCAGGAAAAGGTGTTTCGTCTGGGCCCGACCCTATTTGGTAAAAATATATGTAAAAATGCTATTTTGAGAACGGGGACATACTTTTGACATAATTTAGACCCAAGGAGGCTAAGGAGACCGGGGATTCGACCTAAGGAGGTAAGAACACTAGTCTAACGACCCGGCCGGTCATTTTAAGAATTTATGCCCCGATCCCCTATTAACTGGATTCCCCGTGTTTGTTTCTGCTATTGTGAGTTGCCGGGAGGATTTAATTGGAGTTTCAGAGAGTTTTGGGACACTTAGTGTCGCGCCCCTTTTTCCTCCGCGGAGAAAGTCCGGGTTTCGACGTTCATGGGGGTAATAACTCATTTCCTTTTGGGATTTGGGTATTTGAAAAGTCGCCACCTAACGGATTATGGTGCGTTAAGGCACCTAGAGTGATTAACTCATAGATTGGTTTGCATTACCAGAGATATAGGGTAAGGGCTCGAAATAACCTTGAGGAGAAGGTGTTAGGCACCCCTCTCGGTCCATAACGGTGGGTCCCAGCCGAACTTATACTTATGAATTAGTCCTTTAACAAATAAGTAGTTGAAACACATAATTGCAGATAAAGCATGTTCGACATTGTATGACTCAAATAATAAGACAAAGAATTTGAACAAGTTGTGTACATATAAAAAAAGTGAAGTTTTAGACAAAGGGAATTTGGGAAGGAGGGGTCCTAGCTTGGTTAGCCTATAGGATCACCCCACACAATGCCCGGCAAACACTCCTCAATGAGGGGCTACACATGACATTAACGCGTAGTAATCATATCCCGTTCTACCCAAGTCCCTCCCCTTGGTCATAGACTAAAGCGTTCTAGTAACCTTGAAAATGTCCTATGCGTGCACTACCCGTCCCTTCCTCATGGCCCTGGAGGTATTTTAGGGCCTCTATTCTTTAGGCAGCTCTAGACTTTCCTAAGGT